AAAAAAAAAAAACACAAATCCAGTTTCTTTTACCAAAAGAAAGGCCATTTACCTACTGAGAAAACCAGCTTTGATATGCCTAAGCTGGTTTACGGATCTCCCAGTCTGGTCAAAACCATGTTGGCTGGTTTTAGAGGGGTTTTGGGCAGCTGTCAGCTAGCCAGGCTGGTAGATCAGCTTAAACCAGCTAAGACCAGACATTTTCTGGTTTAACAGACAGTTGTCACTTATCTCTCAATCTACAGCTTATATTAGTGTTTTTATTACTTTTCTTTGGCCTCAACAATTAGCATAATTTTAATGTCAAAAGACTTGAAAATTGCTATGGTAAAAACCTGTTAATTGGTTAACATTAAATTCTCTTACTCTACACTGTGAAAAACTGTAATAAATCTAATGGGACGTTTCACAGTATTTTACTGTAAAATTAACAGCTTTTGGATGTAAAAAAGAACAAGCAATGCTATAAAAAAAAATTCCCTGTTTATGTTTTTTAACTGAAATTACTATGTTTTTACTTATCAGATATATACATTAGGGTTCATCTAATGTTGGTAAAGTAATGTTATGTGTGTTACCATAATGGTGTTTTGTATTTGTATGAACGACACTGTGCACCTTCTATATATTAGTATTTACTTCAGCTTGTGAAAAAGCTACTTGTGATGAGCTTTGATTCATCATGTGGCTTTCTCTATACCACCTGTGTTTTATGGTGGTTATAAATGTATTATAAAGGTACAAAACAGATTTCAGCACAGGCTGTTAAGTTCCCCAGCCACCGCAAGCATTTTTGATCATTTTCATAAAAGTTTAATTCACCCCATAATATTTTATTGTATGAATATCTGAACAAAACAAAAAAAACACAAAAACTTTTTATTCTAGTTTCATGCACTTTTTTTTTATTGACACTTGAATGTGGGTAAGTTTCATGAAAAAAGCATAATTTTGAACAAAAAGCTGAAAAAATGCTTTTTTTAAAAAGGCTATGTCCGGATCAGATTCAGAACGATGATCAAAACATAGATGGAACAGATCGCTTCCATCAACACATCCAAAGCTTGCACAGTCCTAAACCACTTCCTGGATCATCATTTCATTCGGTATTGTTTGGCAGTTTTGATATATATGCTGTTTAATGTTCTTGTTATTTTACATTTGCATCTGCTTACAAATGCTTTTTTCTGCTTCTTCTTCGCCTTGTTTTAATCCAGACATTTAGTAGTCTTTCAGAAGGTGCGTAATAGCACCTCCTACCGAAAGCCATAAAATTTCGTCAATGGCAGGGAAAGAGTTAACATTATATAATTATTTGAAATGGGTGTTTTTGTTGTTGTTGTCTTTTACTGTAATTGTAAATTCAGTACGTAAAACCTAAATTGTTGCTACCATATTTTTGAAGGAAAAGCTCTGGCAACCACAGCTGCCTTTTTTACCGTAAATTTTACAGATCCTTTTTTTTTATACAATAGTACAAGCACAGCTGCTGAGTCAGATATGACAGCTGACTTACCACAGCAGGTCCACCAGACCACCCTGTCTGGCAATGGCTGCCTTTACTCTGTTAGCAAACTGCACTGCATCCTCACCTTCCTGCAAGGAGACAAAACAGACCTTGACAAAAAAAAACCTTGACCTTTGGTTTTAAAATTTATTAGGTGTCTAAAATGTATTTTTATACTTATTTTCAGCATTTTCAGTTAACAGCATGTTTATTTCTAACTGAAGAAACAGATCTTATTTTTCTGAAATAGTAAAACAAACTACAAATGCATAAAGGAAGGACTTCCAACATTATTCCAGTGATTTTCCAGAGAACTTTTGTAACATTCAAGGTGGGGCGGATCACGCCAGCACAATGATTTACCTATGCTGACAATTTGGGGTTTTTTTCGGGATGGTAGGCTTTTAGATGCGTTAAAAACAATGGTCTATTTGTTTATTTGCATGCCCACATGCAAACACAGATGTCCATTTCCAATCTGTGGTGGGTGGAGAAAACTCCAAACCCACACGGGCTCATCTGTGCTTGATTTGAGTATTAAATGCACCAATGCAAAAATGGGAAGGGCAGTGCAACTCATTCATACCACAGATTTGACTGCATTCACAGAGGATGCATGTGTGTGAGCCTTACCTGACGGCTCATCGGAGGCAGGTACCACACGCTGCAGACGATGGCCCAGCTACTCATCATCCTGAGCAGATAATTCACCATCCCAAACTTACTGCTGTTCCAGAAGGCTTCCCCAAACCGAGGGTCATACTAGAAAAACACAAAGAAATGCAAATGAAATACAATGCAATCATCACCACAATGCTGACAAAAAACAAGGTCTTTTTTTTTTCCAGTAAACACACCCAAATATTCTTAAAACAAGAAAACAAATTGTAATAAGTAAAACATGTTTTCAGATAACATTTCTTGAATTAGGTTTATATGGTTTATATATTTTTTTATTTGTCTAAATGTTTAAGTTATATATAAAACTTTTAAAACTCTAAACATAGACCAAAAAAACAACAACAACAACAAAACACAACAAAAAAATATATTGCATTAAAAAGCATGTAATGTATTTCAAATGTAGGTCCAATTTTTTCTTTAAGCACATTTTTTTGCAAGCTAATACAAAACAAAAATCATGCCAGATCTATTCTCTGAAAATAAGTCTTATAGTATCTTATAATATAATTATAATAATATCTTTTACATCTTTAAATTCTCAAGGAATCTTGTTTTAAGGATGTTAAGATGTTACTGCTGACAAATGCTGATTAGGACATTAACATCCATCCATTTACCATAAGAGCTGATAAAGTAAGAGAAGATGTATTTCAACCTTTGAAAGCAGCTTCACAGCTCAGAACAAGAGTGAAATCATACAGCCTACCAGCTGCAGTGTTAAAGGGGTCATGAACCGAGAAACCAAAATTTTGATATATAAGAGGTCATTGTACCATAAAAAACATCCTGTAAGTTTCAGAACTAAAAACTTTCCCATTAGTTTAAAAACAACTTATATTTAAGGCATATATACAGTACATGCTGCTTAGTGTTGTCTGAACATCACAAGTAATGGT